CCCCGTGTTGAGATTGCGCTGGAACCCCCATTCCCTATACTACTCTTGAACTAAGCAATGTCACCTCCATATGCATGAGACTGTGAGACTTTTTCACTTTTTTCACAAAGACTAGCCTTTTTGATGTTTTTGTTATGATTGTGGGAGCGATTTGTGGACAAACTTCGTTAACAAAGAATTCGGTTGCAAGGAAAGAATGCCGAGTATAGTTTTCCAAGATTTAACAAACAAACTAATTTGAAAAAAATGTCCTTTCGAATCGTTTAACACTTCAACATCATTATGAGATGGGATAGATAGTYATTGCTATATGAAAATACCTGCGGCAGGCTGCCGTTCCTATGTGTAAAGACCATCAGTTTACAAATGATAAAAGCACTAACACTGATCATCTTCTCAAATTTGTTGTTTATTCTCTTGGTCTATAATGAAAAAGTGGTTAGAAATCCAAATGTCTTCAAACGTCTTCTCAAACTTGCTGTTACTCTCTTTGTCCATAATGACATAGTGGTTAGAAATCCATCCACATCATCAGCCTTCGTTTCATGTACGATTGCTTTGTTATATGAACAACTGGAAGGATAAAGAAAAATAGGCTTCGATTGTAATAGAATGGTGCGCTTTGATGAAAAAGAGTACATCGCGGGCGTAGAGTGCGTCTCACATCGTACAGCCATCTCACATCACAAATTACAGCATTTATGGTGTCCTTCACCGCCCGTGATGTAGTATTCTTGTGTATGTATCTTTGACTTCACTTTAAACCCATTTGGAAGCTATTGTTTTCAATTCCTTTTCCCTTTCAATAGATCTATCATGTCTAAATCATAAAGAGTAGATTCTGTATGAAGATTAAAAACTCAAGGTCTAGACTAATCTAGCCCTATAGTTTTTTTCTATTCGATCCAATAAGCTGAAAACTTTTCAGCTTGTCTGATCTAATAGCAAACAAGAATGCAACTGCGCTAGGTACTGGGGTTTTATTAAAGGTGTAGAGATAATATCCTGGCTTAACGGATGACCGTGAGATTCAACGATAGTTCCGTAAAATAGAATAGGGTTAAAGCATATTATGCGGATTGTCCATACCATAAATAGAAAAAATCGTTTTGGAATAGTCCTTTAGCATTTTATCGATACCATGCGAATCAATTCAATGTATTATAGAATAGACTAGTTTTGCGGACAAAAAACAACCTTTTAATCCGAATTTAATTCCAAGACCTTTCGCCCGGAATAACCTCGTTCCCAAGCACTATACTTTAACGGAAATAGGAATATATGGTTAAAGTTAGGGTAGAGCTCAAAAGTATTTATATATATACATAGCTGCATGGCTGTTCATACCCTACAAGCAGACAGGGTATTCTTTTTATTGATGTTTGCCAGATGAGGTTAGTAAAGCGACTGCTGCCAGGATGTATTTTTTTCAAAGAAGCGGTCCACTCATTTACTTATTAGCATTCATTCATTTATTRGCATACATTAGAGTTCAGCATTGCGAGTTCTTAAATACCATACCTATTTTAGGTTATTAATATTATTATATTATGTGATATATATTTCTTCTTGTATTCCGCGTTTTAGAATATTCCGCCATTCCGCAGTTCTTCCGTTCCGCGTTGAAAGCGTTGAGTATAATCGTGCAAGGTTTTATGGGTATGCAATACATATAAGAACAAGATGGAGGAATTTGAAGGGAGACGAAAATTGCTATTTCCTTACGGTAAGAAACGTTCAGAACCTTAGAAGAACCCTTGAAATATTGAATTTAAATGTCTTATCTTCTGTGGAGGGCTTTTTAATGACATTTGTGGTCTTGTCGTTAAATTAGCGACCATTTATTGTGACACGTGTGAAGTCGCTCGTCGCTGTTAAAACTTGTCTTCAAACATTCATTTTGTGTTCGTAGAATGGGTTTTAATCGTTGAACAGGCCTAAAGAAAGGTACTTATACTTTTCTGGATATCGCTGTTCAATTTACAATGTCTTTTAAAGTATTTCTTAAACTTATTTTCTCCGTAGTTTGAAGACAACAACGTGTACTCACTTACGTTACCCCTCCATAGAAAACATAAAACCCAACACTGTTTTTGGGTTTGTTTTGCTGCAATATTTTTTTCGAAGAATTAAGCTTATAGAAAATATGCAATAGCATATAGTACATAGTACAGAGACATGCGTGTGGGTTTTATATTCCTTAAATATGCAATGGATAAGGCTCATCCAAGGCTCGTAATTTACCTATTTATAAATGAATAACCATGCCATTTAAAAAGATATATATTTTGAAGTGTTAAGTAGTGACAAGTGTAACATGTCCTTTCCCTCGTTGTCAGAGAGCTAGGACAGAATGATTGAAAAATAGATATTTTAAGCCTTAAGAACATAAGGAGTTATYACTGGGTTGCCTGTGGCACTTTTACATTAATAACAGTCCACTTTACGCAATGATTTCTTCAATAAAATTATAAGCGACAAAATAAGAACTTGAAAATATACTAAAGGACAAAAAGAATACCAATTCCGATGGAATCTTGAGGAAAAATCAGCCTAACTTACAATATAAATCAAGTGTTTCTCAATAAACTCATAACTAGGCTTTGATAGATATTAGACCTTAACAACCAGTGATATACAAACCCAAATAGAGACAAGCTGAATGATATTTCTAAGGGAATTCCTAGAAAAAGTTGGCTAATTTGAGTGAGCAAATGAATGTTTTATGAGTGAAATACTAACATAACTTCTTCCATCGGGTTCATTTACCGCGGGCAATTTCATATGGTCAGGTCGTGGTAAAGTAATTAAGTAGTGTGACATGCATAACACAAAATTGTTTATTTGTATTCCACATATTGATTGATACCAAATCCGTCAACCCAGAAGCTAAACTCGGAGCTTCGGCGTCCAGAATAAAAAAAAGTAAAAGAATTTGTAGAAAAAACTTGTATTATTTCAGAGAGTAAATAAAACTTTTCTGAGTGTTAGTGCTAAGTCAATTTTGTCTTTTTTAGTTAGATTTTTAAAATTTTTCCTCTTAAGTCAGGTATTATGAAGTATTTTCAAACAATGAAGTAAAAAAGGAGGGTGGACAACTTCCTTTATACATGCACAGCGATCACAGCAGTTAATTTTTATGACTTTTTGCTTATCAAAACACTGGAATGACGTCATAACAAGGCAACCCAGTATACACTCTTGTTCAATTTAGTTTTATGGCGCTAGCTTGGATTGTGTTACGGTCACCAAAATGTTCGGACATCGTTCTCGGATTTCCATACAAATTCACTGACTTTAAAGAGACAATTTGGGTACATTTCTTTAATAAGCTATCTTAACACCAATAGCAAAAGCCTCAATCAAGCTAGAGAAATGATTATTTACTTATTCATCATTCAGAGTCGCTACATTGTATGGAAATTGGAGAACAATGTCTGAACTTTTTGGTGATTGTTGCACAATCTAAAACAATTTATGTTCCTTGAGGGCTAGTGCTGAAAATGTGAATTAGAGGTGAATGAAATTTGAGTTTTCTAGAATGTAGAAATATATGATTGCTTGCAAAAACTCTGCTAACATCAAAATATTTCAAATTTTTGAATCAAAAATAATAATTAAATGCTTTTATAATTCATAGTTTTTGCTCCTTTGTGCTTGCATAACTAGTGACATCCCATTTTGACTATTCTTCGTTTGCATGTTATGTCATCACGGCCATGTTGTTATCATTTAACAAAAGATTTCTTATTAGCATCCATTGCGAAGGTCGTGGGTTTGATTCCCAGCAAGATTGGAATTAAATTTTTCCGAATTTAATTTCAAGGGCTTTCGCCTGGAATAACCTCGTTCCCAAGCACTATAACTTATCTATTTCTATATCTTCAATAATTTCCCAAGTCTTGGTTTAGCTTTCTCCCATTATTCACATTCTTTGGAATTTTTCTGTAATATTTTTGCTTTGTGAATTAATGGATGTTTTCTGTGATGTCTGAGCTAAAGCTATTTTGGCTGGTCACCAAGGCTGGCAATTGAGCAGCCATTAATTTAAGCGATGGACTCATCAGGTTATCAAACAAATTCAGCCTAGACTGACCTATGGAATCAGTCTTGGTATAGATCAATAGATGATTAATGATTTCTTTTAATTTCATTTCAGGCAAGTAACCATATCTGGAGATGATCATGAATGATTTTCTCTGCTCCCACAGTCTTTTTGATAGCTGTAGTTGCTGGTATGTTATGTGTATTACTCTTGCACATGAAGATAGCAAACATTCTTAAGCAAAATATTACTATCTGCTGTGGAAGGTTTCAKGAGTTAGTGCTGCTCATCAAAACTGAAACATTTTGGATCTAAATATTTAATATGCTTTCTTTCTCTGAATATCATTTTATTGTCTACGAAATACTCACAGTTTAGTGTTGTGTATGAAGCATTACACCTGTAAATAGCACGTTGATGAAACCTGCCATGCTTGATTATGTACATGTACATGCTAAGACAACTTGAACAGGAGAGTTCTTATTTATTGACATTGAAGTTAATAGTTTTTTATTGAACAATTATTTTCATTCAAAGTACATTAGTCTGTGGTCATGAATATACAGTAAGCATTGTTTGATTGGTTATGTGAATACTGAGACCATGGGTTGACCATGGTGAATACTGAAAACCATGGGTTGTGACAATGAATGAAACACACAAAGAGGTTTGCATTATTAAAGTGGCATGCATTATAAAAGTAAATGCCAGAAGCCTTTTCTGTGAATAATTTATTTGTTTGATATTTTGATCGCTCTCCAGCAAAAACTCTGCTAAAATCAAAATAATTCAAATTATTTTGATTCAAAAATATTAATTAAATGCTTCTATAATTCATAGTTTTTGCTCCTTTGTGCTTGCATGACTAGTGTCATCCCATTTTGACTATTCTTCATTTGCATGTTATGTCATCGCGGCCATGTTGGTATCATTTAACAAAAGATTTCTCATTAGCAACCATTGCTAATGGTCCCACAATGACGGCCATGTTTTTGTCTTTTAACTCTCTTGGTAATGCTTGCAACCCGTAAATTGGTTGTTGTTGTCTTTAAGTTAACTTTTACGAATGAGTGTTATATTAGTTTTATTATATTAATTTAGCAATCATGAAAGGGTTACTGTTTGAAAACAGTTAGGGGTATTGTTGTCTATAAAAATTGATCTCAATAATTTCCAAAGCCTTGCTCTCAGTCTGACCATAAGCTCAGCTGGTAGAGCATCGGTAGTACATTTCCGAAAGTTGTGGGTTTGATTCCCAGCGAGATTGGAAATACTTTTTTCCGAATTTAATTTCAAGGGCTTTCGCCCGGAATAACCTCGTTCCCAAGCACTATGACTTATCTATTTCTATATCTTCAATAATTTCCCAAGTCTTGGTTTAGTAATGATGAAAAGGTAAATTATACACCGTGAAAAGATGAAAAAACTTACTTACAAGTCTTGGTTTAGTTTTTTCCCAGTATTCCCATTCTTTGGAATTTTTCCCTAATTTGTTTTTGCTTTGTGAATTGATGGATGTTTTCTGTGATGTATGATCTACTGTAAAGCTATTTTGGCTGTTCATCAAGGCTGGCAATTGAGCAGCCATTAATTTAGCGATGGACTCATTAGCTTATCAAACAAATTCGGCCTATACTGACTTATGGAATCAGTCTTGATATAGATCAATACATGATTAATGATTTCTTTTAATTTCATTTCAGGCAAGTAACCATATCTTGAGATGATTATGAATGATTTACTCTGCTCCCCCAGTCTTTTTGATAGCTGTAGTTGCTGGTATGTTATGTGTATTACTCTTGCACATGAAGATRGCAAACATTCTTAAGCAAAACATTACTATCCGCTGTGGAAGGTTTCATGAGTTAGTGCTGCTCATCAAAACTGAAACATTTTGGATCTAAATATTTAGTATGMTTTCTTTCTCTGAATATCATTTTATTGTCTACAAAATACTCACAGTCTAGTGTTGTGTATGAAGCATTTCACCTGTAAATAGCACGTTGATGAAACCTGCCATGCTTGATTATGTACATGTTAAGACAACTTGAACAGGAGAGTTGTTATTTTTTGACATTGAACTTAATAGTTTGTTTTTTTATTGAACAATTATTTTCATTCAAAGTACGTTAGTCTGTGGTCATTAATATACAGTAAGCATTGTTTGATTGGTTATGTGAATATTGAGACCATGGGTTGACCATGGTGAATACTGAAAACCATGGGTTGTGACAGTGAATGAAACACACAAAGAAGTTTTCAAAATTTATAAGTGGCATGCAATATAAAAGTAAATGCCAGAAGCCTTTTCTGTGAATAATTTATTTGTTTGACATTTTGATCACTCTCCAGTGATCATCATCAGACTGAATTATAATTCAAAGTTCAAGTTATTATTATTAGTTCAGAAGTCCCAAAGGGATGCTATGTCCTTGATCATTAAGGTATCAGGGTACCCCTAGCAACCATTGTGCTTTAAACTCTTAATAGCACAAAACCTTTTAATCGAAACCTCAACAAAATATACATTTTGAAAGCTGAATAAATGTAGAAACTATTCCTTTTTTCCTTTTCATAAAATATATTTATCCTTTTAAGTTAGAGCAAATTATTCAAGTTTTCTTTATGGCATCTTTGCTGAGTTCATTGACAGCYGGTAATGATCGGAAACCGATGCTTATTACCTTTCTGAGATCACAAGACATCACTCATCAAAGTGTGTCTCAGATTTTTGATTAGTTGCTGTGTTGCTTTTTTCTATGCTCTTAAAGTTATGACACTGCTATATCACCTAAAGCCAAGCCAAAATCAACGATAATTTTGGAAATAAAAAAAATCAAAAATTGGAAATTTTTTTTAAGAACAACTGTCCAAGATGACTTACTCAAATTTCCAGTTAAATCATTTAAATTCCCTTTGACATTGGACTCAAAACATACGGGTAACTGAATGCAAAATCACTTCCGAGAAAATCGCAAAATTTTTTCTGAGTGAGTGGAAGCACCTTTGTTTACACAAACCCAATTTTTTTTTATTAATCGCTACTAAAATCAAAGATTTTTATATATTTTATTGCAAAATGTAAAAATCAATACTTTTGAGCAATTTTGGGGTACCCTGATACCTACCTTAACAGGGCTTCTAACAGGATGCAGGAAAAAAAATTATTGAAATTATGTGGGATTTTTCCCCCCGATTATAATGCATTATGCAGAGAAAAAGGCAAATTATGCGGAATAGGATGCAGGATGATGTCACCGAAAAAAATTCTGAATTTGTTTTCTTAGGTCATGGATATGATTATACATGTTTTAAAAATTTTTTTCTTCTTTATTCAAATCCAAACTTTCATTAACTTAACTTTTACATAATTATTTACAGTTTTACCTTGATTTTGCTTCTTTA